AGCGCACCATGGCATCGGACCTGGCTACCTCCGAGACCGCCTTCTGCCACAGATCACCTCTCACCGGCCGATACGCTCCCACAGAGAGGGTCTCCTCAGGGTGCCGTCAACCAGACAGTGCCGGTTGGCGACCCCCAGGGGGAGAGCCTTCTCTGTTGGAGCTCCCACCCTCTGGAACGAGCTGCCCCCAGAGATCCGGTTGATTCCGGATCTCCCCTCCTTCCGCCGCGCCCTCAAGACATGGCTGTTTCAGCTGGCAGGAGTGGCCTAGGGATATTTTAAATTGGATTTTAATCAACTTTTAAAATAAGAAAAGGCCTATTTAAATATATCTTTTAATTTATTTTAAATTTTGATATTTGTACCAATTGTTCTGTTTTTTAACTGGCTGTAAGCCGCCCTGAGTCCACCAGGAGAAGGGCGGGATATAAATACAATAAACTTCAAACTTCAAACTTCAACTGTAAAATTCACACATCTGGAGAGTGCCAGGATAGAATAAAAACCTGTTGCCATTGCTGTTGTGTAGATATATAGCATTATATTGTGCATGGTGGTTATTATGTTTACATATCTACTGTCCCCACTGCTCTTAAATCAGGGGTCTGTACTAAATAGTGGGTTTGACTTAGCCAGACTTAGCCTCTTTCATTTTGCTGATTCTTATTCCCGTATGCTTTTCCTATTCCTTGTTATTCCCTATTCCATGTTAATTTTCTGAAACAAAATAGGATAGGAGGTAGAAGTCTTCAATAACTAAGGAAAGGTGAAAACTGAATACCCAACTGATTTGAATATAAATGCTTTCTAATAAAACAAATCTGTAAATGAGTATTCATTAGCATGGCAAATAACTGCACAGAAATTATATTCCATAAAACATAAAACGCTTGATTTTTCCCCCCAAATTTTAGTAAAGATTTATTTCCATAAAATATCTTACACTCAAGCTTTTCATTGGTAATCTTACCACAAGTTTCATATGACAAAGTTTATTTATTTATGGGACCTATATGGCTGCCTATCTTATAGAATGACTCTAGGCAGGTCATAACAATCCATAAAAAGCATAGTTAAAAACAAAAATATCCTTTCCCTCCAGGCACCAGATCTATCATTCTCACAGCTCAACCCCATTCTTGGGGAAAAAAGCCAGGTCTTCACAGTCCTGTGGGAGGCTAAGAAAGTAAGGATCCCTCTAATCTCAGGAGGAAGGCTGTTCCAAAGGACTAGAGTGGTCATCAGGAAGGCATGCCTCCAATGTCTCATCCATTAGGATGGGCAAGAAGAAAAGGTGGGCCCACAAGTAACCTGGCTATATGCTATACAGGGTTTTAAAGATGACAATTAGCACCTTGAATTGCACCCAGGAAGCAACTGGAAGCCAGCATTCGTCTTACTCAAGTGAACCGCAGGACACCTTTGCTGTGCATGCCGGACAAATTGCAGCTATGTGACTTTCAAGGGCAGCCCCATGTACAACACATTTCAGTAATCCAAACAGGAGCTGACAATGGCATGGCCCCCCAGTCCAGGAATAGTACTTGAAAAGTATTTATCTTTATAAAAACCTATTCTGCTTAAATGTGTCTGCCAAACTAAATAAGATCATAAAAAGTTAGTCACTATATAGATTAGTTATTTGTTTCCAGGTAAAAAAAGAATAAGACAATGCAACCAATTTTATTTAGAACATTCAAAAAAATTTAAGCCTTTTTAAAAATCTTAACAGCTGATAAATTGAACATTTTAAACGCTTTCTATTTTACAGTGATAACAAGCAGTGGCTACAGTCCAAGATCATCACATCAATACTCACCGCAGTTATATCCCTCCAAGTTAGTGTGCATGTATATCCTAATATCTTATTTGTATATCAGTTTCTGCATGTACTTTATTTAAATATTGGTTTAAATATAGGAACTACATTGGGTTTGTATAAAATGCAATGTTATATGGAGATTTACATTTTGGCTTGGTTTAAACTCATTTCTTCTTAGGTTAAGTGCATGTTAGGGTGATTTATTTATATGAAAAAAACAAAGTTTTAAAATTCTGAGTTATGTGTGTTGGCATGATTATTTTCTGGATTTGTATACTCCAATCATCACTAGTACAACTATCCAGAAAGCACACATACTTGGAGGATGATGAAATCCTCCTGATTGAATCTGGGGCACTTAGACTAGGGGAAGTAATGGTGACAAGAATGGCACCATATTATATGTCTCTAAATCTGGTTATGGTTAGGCATAGCCATCTATTAATCTTATTTTTGCATCTTTACATTGGATAATAGTTGTAAAAGATTTTGACTTTCATGTGTAAATAAACCACTCATACATCAATTTCCTCACTACTTAAGTGCATAGTAAAACCATTGGTATTCCCCAGGATATTTGACATCTAGGGACTGTTTTTTTTAGAACTTACGGTCAATAATAATAATAATAATAATAATAATAATAGTAATGATAAAGTTGGAAGGGTCCTTGGAGGTCATCTAGTCCAACCCCCTGCTCAGGCAGGATACCCTATACCATTTCGGACAAATGGCTGTCCAGTTTCTTCTTAAAAACTTCCAGTGTTGGAGCATTCACCACTTCTGGAGGCAGGTTGTTCCACTGGTTAATTGTTCTCACTGTCAGGAAGTTTCTCCTTAGTTCTAGGTTGCTTCTCTCTTTGGTTAGTTTCCACCCGTTGCTTCTTGTCCTGCCTTCAGGCGCTTTGTCTGTACTATATTTATAGCACTGTTAATCCTGTACTGCATTTGTTGGTAATTTCATTGATAGAAATACATTAACATACATAATACAATAGATTACAACTTATAATTAAATTACTTAATTTAGTTTCATTTATTTTTCATTCATCTCATTTTTCCGGACAAACATAGCTATGTTAGTCTTTGATGCATTAATTTTCAGAACTGTACCCCTTGCTGTGTCCTGCAGTCTATCTAGCATTTACTGTAAATCGTTCAGTTTCTTGGCTAGTAGAACAACACCATCTCCATACAGATTTACTTCCATATTATGTCCCCAATCAACACACCCCTAACATCACTATAGCCATTCTTTCTACATTAAATTTTTAAATACCTTAACCAAATATTTGTTCTACTCAGTGTTGAGTATTTGTTGTGCAACCCATGCATTATTTCAATCATATATTATTATTATTATTATTATTATTATTATTATTATTATTATTATTATTATTATTATTATTATTATTATTATTATTATTATTATTATTACCACATTGAACAACGAGCTTCCAACTCCATATTTGGGTAATAAACTCCAAAATTCAAACCTTTACACTATATCATATTTTTTCTATATCAACAAACATTCAATAAACCTTGTTTATCTAATTTAAACTCATAGAATTAAGTGGGCTAGAATAATAAAGATTCTTTCAATTTCAAAGCATGGATGCAGCTTTGCCCACAATTTAAACATAAACTCTCCATAAGCAATTCCACATACAGTATATTTTGAAATACCTCTTAACATCAACACTTGCCTTTACCGTTTATCAACACACGTATTTGTCATTTTTTTCCTTCAATCATTAATATTAAATTATACATTTCAATTCCAACATTTGATATATTATTGTAAATTTCCTGCAATTCTCAAAAATACTCTTGGTAGCATTCCTTCACTTCAGTTACATTCCTAGTTCTTTCCTTTTACAGTCTAAAGCCTCATGCCCAAAGTCAAAACAGTAATTCCAACTTATAAAAACAGTAGAGCTTGCCTAATCTTGTTCCAAACACCAGAGAGAACAGCCATGTCTTCAGTGCCTTATGAAAATCTAATAGGGTCTGGATTTCTTGAGAGATGCTGTTCCACATGGCAGGTGCTGTCACAGACAAATCATAACTCCTGGGTTCAATAAGATGCAATTGTTTTATAGAAGGGATCTGGAGCATGCCCTCATTGCTAGACTTGATGGGAGATGGAAGACAGCCAGACCCACAAATAATCTGGCTCTATTCCATGTATGGTTTTATAGGTGATAACCAGCATTTTGAATTGCACTTAGAAGCAAGCCCACTGGAACCCAATGCAACTTGCAGAGAAATAGTGTTATATGGGTATAATGAAAAATGCCAAAAGCCCATACCAGTGCATTTTGGACTAACCACAGCTTCCAAGTACTCTTCAAGTGCTACCCCATGTAGAACATGTGACAGTAATCCACTGGGAGATGACTAAGGCATGATTGCTTGAATCAACAATCTAGGTGTTATCTTATGTGACTGATAGTTTTTCTCCCATTTCCTGCTGTTTAGGCCCTATCCACATATTCTTTCTACACCAGCAGCTCAAACAATGTCTGCCTATGCCAGTCAGACCCAGTATTCAGGAATGCAGCAACCAGCAGTGTATACAGCCTACTCACAGACTGGGCAACCTTACAGCTTACCTGCTTATGGTATTTGACTTCCCATTGTTCTTTATTTTCTGATGAATGTGTTTGGCATCATGGAATTTCTTTGTTTCCCTTCCCCGCTCCATTGTAAGAATCAATTGAACATTATTTTTTTATACAGATTTGGGTGTAATGTTGCCGGGCATCAAGACAGAAAGTGGACTTTCACAAACACAATCACCACTGCAGACTGGATGTCTTAGTTACAGCCCAGGGTTCTCCACACCACAGCCAGGCCAAGCACCATATTCATACCAAATGCCAGGTGAGTAATTCCTTGTTGTTTTTTTAATTTTTTCAGATTCATACAATTCTTACATAATCAGTAAGTATGGTGAGTAAAATTTATTACCTGTCCGAGTCTTCCATTTCTTTGAAAAAAGAAAAGTATAATGATCTGAAATTTTAGTTAGATAATTTGGCTGATATTTTTACACATTTAATGTAACTTATTCAAAATTTATGGAAGAGTTATTTATCAAAATTATTAGAAATGATCACAGATATTATTCATTGATAATAAATAAATAATAAATCATACTATTAATCTGAAAAGATTGATAATGAGAATAATAGTGGGAACAATTGTAATTAAAGCCTATATGAAATAGCTTTTGAGAATCCATATCTTGAGCATATCTCTGTATAATTTGTGCACCTTTTAAAGTTCTTAGTCTGAAATACCAGGCACAAAATTAATATTGTTAATATTTATGACTTTTATATTTATGTACCACTGTATCTTGACAAAAAGAAGCTGTGATAGGTTTTTAAACTTAAACTCTATTCAGTTTTCCAAAACATTCAATAATAAAATGTTTGTAGGCATGTTCAGAGGCATTTGGGACGGGACAGCAGGTGATAAAATATATATCACGAAGCAAGCAGCACTTGTTATATGTAGTGTTATGAAACAAGCATTAAAACACAGATTTTATGTTAATGATCTCATGGTGCATATTCTGTTATTTTGATTTAGTGGTTAGGAATAGAAATGTGAGTAGGATGACCATGTCTCTACATTAGAATGCAAAACTGTTTTTAACAGAATCAACAAGGATAAGCGACATTTTGGTGATTGAAGATGGTACCTAACATGGTGGGAGGCTTACTGAAGTTGTAAAATGAGTAAAAAGATTTGTTCACTCAAATTATATAGTCTCCCATCTCATTTTTATGCATAATAGGCAGCTTGCAATAAAACAAATAAAAACACAAAATACATAATGTGAAACAAAAGTAAAAACATATAGCAGCCAGGCATGAGCAGTTATCCGTGCAACAAGGAAATGAGCTCTAACCCACACCTACCCAGCTCAATACCACTTTACAAAAGGCCAACAAGGATGAGGTCAATCTAATTTCAGGGGGAATTAAACAAAAGCTCCTCTTCTGGGTCCTGCCAGCTGACACTCCTTAGCTGATGGTACTCAGAGCATGTCCTTCCTGCCCAATCAGATAGGACTGGTAGAAACAACTTGGGAGAGATGGTCCCATAAGTAGAATAGAGTAGAATAACAGAGTTGGAAGGGATCTTGAAGGACTTGTAGTCCAACTTACTGCTCAGGTAGGAAATCTATACAATTTCAGACAAACAGTTGTCCAATCTCTTCTTAAAAACTTCCAGTGTTGGAGCATTCAAAACTTCTGGAGGCAAGTTGTTCCACTGATTAATTGTTCTAACTGTGAGGAAATTTCTTCTTAGTTCTAGGTTGCTTCTTTCCTTGATTAGTTTTCATTCATTGCTTCTTGCCCTGCCCTCAGGTGCTTTGGAGAATAGCTTGACTCCCTCTTCTTTGTGGCAACCCCTGAGATATTGGAACACTGCTATCATGTCCCCCCTCGTCCTTCTCTTCATTAAACTAGACATATCCAATTCCAGTAACTGTTCTTTATATGTTTTAGCCTCCAGTCCCCTGATCATCTTTGTTGCTCTTCTCTGCACTCTTTCTAGAGTCTCAACAAGTAACCCAATCCTATGCCATGAAGGACTTTAAAGAAAGCCAAAGTGCTCATGGAGCAGTGGTCCACATGTGCTAAGTAACTGGCATTAGTGACTGCCTCTGCCAGCATATTTTACACCAATTGAAGCTTCCAGATACTCTTCAGGGAGTAATTTGCAATACATTGCAATACCAGTTGCATTATAGTAGTCCAATTTGCATGTCACAAAGACTACCAGATGTATTCAAGGCTGAGTTTGGAGAAGATTTTCCAGAGTTTGTGATATGTGATATGTCTGGTTCAGGGTTCATAATACAATTTTCGTATGTTCACACACAAAAAAAAGAAAAAGAAAAACCAAAGTTTAAGTAACTCTGAAGAGACAGGTTTCCAAAAGCAATAAAATGGGATTCTACGCAACCCAAGACAGCAGGCTTCTTAGCCTTAGTTGTTAAATATTTGAAGAGATCTTTTTGCTGTCCTCACTATGATTCTTGTTGTTGTTAATTGCGAAATCGTGTCCGACCCATCGCGATCCCGTGGACAACGTTCCTCCAGGCCTTCCTGTCCTCTACCATCTTCTGGAGTCCATTTAAGCTCACGCCTCACCTACTGCTTCAGTGACTCCATCCAGCCACCTCATTCTCTGTCGTCCCCTTCTTCTATTGCCCTCAATCTTTCCCAGCATTAGGCCCTTCTCCAGTGAGTCCTTCCTTCTCATTAGGTGGCCAAAGTATTTGAGTTTCAACTTCACGATCTGGCCTTCTAAAGAGCAGTCAGGGTTGATCTCTTTTAGGACTGACCGGTTTGAACGCCTTGCAGTCCAAGGGACTCGCAGGAGTCTTCTCCAGCACCATAGTGCTGATTCTACTCCTTAACTATTTCTGTTGAGAATGTTGGAGATATGAGCTACTCTCTGTTTGATAATGATATGGCCATCTTAAATATGGTCACTTCATGGACTAGAAGTTCTTATAATTTGTAATTATATAAATTGTTGTTGTTGTTGTTAATTGCAAAGTCGTGTCCAACCCATCGCGACCCCATGGACAATGTTCCTCCAATGTCTTCCTGCCCTCTACCTTCTTCTGGAGTCCATTTAAGTTCACGCCTACTGCTTCAGTGACTCCAAATTACATTAAGTATATTGTCCTCCCCAAACCATTATCAATATATGAATGAAGGCAAATATACATGTCCCAGGATAATAGCTAGAGAGAAGTTCCCTGAAGTTCCCTTTCCCTGAAGGAAAAAGCTGGGGATCAAGAAAGGAAAAGCTTTTGAAACTTGCTGATGCGTAAATGTCTGTTTTGGTGTTTCTGTGAAACTTGATAGCAACCTATTTATGAAAGGTGGATATATGGAATATATAGAAACAATTAAAAACATTATTGACAGCTTGTTCCATTTGTAAATGTGTTCTTTACAAACAATACTATCAAATTTTCTTTTAAAAAATTTTAAGCTGTGAGATAAGGGCATGTTTTAATTATATACTCTTAATTTTCAACTGAAAATTTAATTTCTCATTTGTATTGAATAATGTATTGCTAAGGTCTTACAGTGAATTATTCTTTTAACTCTAGGTTCTAGTTTTACACCATCCTCCACTATTTATGCAAATAATTCAGTATCAAATTCTACAAACTTCAATAGTTCACAACAGGTATGATTTTTTTGTCTATAAAGCACAAACTATTATAAAGTTGATTTGGCAATTTATTTGAACAAGACTGTTATCCTATTTCTATTTTTAGGTTAAAAAAATGATGTAGTTTTAAAGGTATTAGTCTTCATTAAAATATTGTTTGTAACGTTCTAGGATTATCCATCATATGCAGCTTTCAGCCAAAATCAATATCCACAGTATTATTCAGCATCAACATATGGAGCATACATGACATCAAATAATACCACAGATGGTACCTCTTCATCCTCATCAACATACCAGCTGCAAGAATCCCTTCCAGGTCTTACTAGCCAACCAGGTACTATTTCATTGATTTTGTGTTGCAGTCATTTAAAATCACAGATATAGGTGCATGCTAACATTAATTGTAGCTAAGTGTGCTTGAAAACAGATTTCATTAATATAAATTTGACATCCAAGGAATCAAATCTCATCCAGTCCTACTCAACAAACATCCATTAAACATTAGTAAAGAGTCAACCATTTAGTCTGACTATTCCCAGAAAGATATCAAAAGATAAAGAGTTTGGGGGTAAGTTTTTGGGAACAACAAAAAAAGAAGAAAACAGTGCATCAATCATCCTCACCAAAGGCCTAGGTGACAAGATGTATTTTCAGGGACCTTCAAACTGCCAGAAGTGTGGGAACTAGTCAAATCTTGGGGAAATTGGGCAATCCCATGTAGAACACATTGAAGTAGTCAAGCATGAGGTGACCAGAGCTTAAGTGGCTATCTGAAGTGTCTCCCCCTCCCCCAATCTCTGAAAGGGTACAGATGAAGCAGGACAAAGGTCTTCCTATATACAGCTATTTTCAAGTAGGAGCCATGAATCCAGAAAACTCCCAAACTTTACATTACCATTGAATGGAAGTGCCACCCCATTCAAGATCAAAGGTGGAATATCTTCAGATCCGGACATTCTTAACACCCACAGCCATTCCATTTTGAGAAGAACTTCTGACTTAATATTTATCTCAAAGATTTGTATCCAGAAATGTATCATATAACCATTTTGTAGCTGCTGCTACTCATAAACTCAAACGTATTTTACCCTGCTAGTTTCCAGATCTTCTGTTAATAGCATATAAAGCTCAACAGAAGATAGCATCACCTGGGGAAGAACTCATCAAATAGAATACAAAGTCAGGGAATCTTAATTTGCAATCTGCATTTCAGAAAAGTGTTAATGCTGAACTGCCTACATTCTCACTGTCTTAGATTGTAAGGTTAATAAAAAGTAAGGTTACTCATAGGTAGAAATCATTTACTATGTTGTGGTAGACATTTTCAATCTGGATACTTTGTCTATTTCTGCACAATAGCATTTATGTTTCATTAATATCCCTTACGCTAAAAACTATTTCTTGGTGGCCTTCACATCTGCTCCTAGAGTTTCAGACATGGGAGTTCCCTTGGTAAACAAGTATTTGGGCATGTTCCACTTAGTGCTTGACCTTTATGAAGTAGGTATTGCATAATATTCAAAAGATGGAATGTTAAAGGACCTCTATCCTGGAACAGAACTGTACATCCCATAGTATGGAAAATTGATTGATTGATTTAAGTTTGTTTCTAATTTTAAAAAATAGTCTGCTCAGATATAAGATTACACAGCGAGATTATACAGAAATACCTAGGATATCCTCTATCTCTTGCCTTTCTATTTGTTTACTCAATCTTTGTAATTTGGCAAATACTCATAGTTAAAAGAAGGTGAGGAATCTCAGTAAGCAGATTATTTTCATTCCTCTTGAATTATTAGGGATTTACAGATAATCCAAATTGCCTATTCAAAGCTTTAGGAGTACCTTATTTAAACCATAAAATTGAATGAGGAATACTTGTATTTTGATAAGTGTTTACTCTTGTTGTTTTGCAGGAGAGTTTGATGCTGTGCAGAGCCCTTCAACTCCAATCAAAGAGCTTGATGAAAGAACATGTAGGAGTTCTGGGTCAAAATCAAGGGGCAGAGGGAGGAAAAATAACCCATCTCCTCCTCCTGATAGTGACTTGGAGGTACATTCTTACAAATTAATACCAATATGAAGGTCAAAAAGTAATTCATGTGAGAGAGAGAGAGAGAGAGAGAGAGAGAGAGAGAGAGAGAGAGAGAGAGAGAGAGAGAATACATATTAATAGAAAATGCTGTTCATTCAAAATTAGATTAAGTACTGTATAAGATAATTGTTAAAACAAATTAATTTCATAAAGTTTCTCCCTCATTATGCCTTCTTTTGGAATGTAATTGTAATTGAAGTGTAAGAATCCAGGGAATCTACAGATCTCTATCTGAAGCTTGGAATCTCTATTTTGAGCACTTCGAATGTCTACTTTGGATAAATTCCCTGACACATTCTTCCCCTTTCAAACAATTATTAAAGTTTAAATATCTCATATTGGATTGAAAACTGATAGAAAACGTTTTCTTCCTGGTGCTAAAAGATAACAGGCAAATCACAAAATACATCTGCATGGGATATCATTAAGGAGTTTCTGTATGTATGTATGTGTGATTTCACAGAATAGTATATTTGATCATTTGCTAAAAAGCATAATTGCCCTCTTTAATATGACCATAAAAATTGATCATAAATGAAAATTTTCTGATATAAAAATTAAAATTACTATTTGATATTTCTAACTAACCAAGCTCTTTGATAATCTCTACTTTTGGCTTGATAATTCAAATATAAAAAAGCAGCAAGAGGGCTGGGCAGTGCTTTGGAGTAAAAAAAAATGCTTTGGAGTGTAGTCCAGTATTCATGTATCACCTGTCTGCAGCTCCTTAAAGCATCTGCAACTTTTTCTGGGGGGACTACACAGCTGCGGGTTTTTTTTAGTAATATCTTTCTTTACTTGAAGTATTGAGTCAAAAAATCTTTTTTCCCCCATAAAGACTGTTTGGGGCTACACATATTTCTGGATAACTGCCTCTAGTCCTTGTCCTATTTGTATATATTGATTTTTTGATTCTTTTGTTTTCAGCGTGTATTTGTTTGGGATTTGGATGAAACTATCATTGTCTTCCATTCGCTTCTTACAGGATCTTATGCACAGAAATATGGAAAGGTATGTGAGAAATACCTAGTGCTTTTACTGTAGCTAATTATTGTGCAGTACAATAATTTATTTGCTAAGTTTAAAGTCCTTGAATTATTTCCATAGTATTTAGCAGTATTTCTGGTATGTAAATAAAATTTGGTTTTAATAGTCCTAGATTTGACAGATATTTTTTTATTCAGACTTTACTTCAGGATTCACTAAGTTTTATTGCAAATGATATTATTTAGATTTACATAAAAAGTCAAGCAATATAATTTCACATAAATGATATAGATTTGGTTTTAATAGACATTCTTCCCTATACCCCCACTCCTAGCCCATTAAATACAGGATTTCTTTAACTAGATACTTAGTAACACTTTGTTCTGTTGTTCTTACAACTTCTAAAGGCTTTACTGCTTTTTGTGACTAAAATCAGCTTCCTTTGCTTTATTTAACTAGCATTTAGATGTCAGTCTGAATACTGCTATTGAAATATTTTGTGATTGATTGGGAAAATACTCAACTACTAATTAACTGCAGCTTTTAATAACAAGTTACAGTAAAATAATCAGCTTTCTAAAAATATATGTTTAATAAGAGGGAGGGAGGGAGGGAGGGAGGGAAAGGAAGGAAGGAAGGAAGGAAGGAAGGAAGGAAGGAAGGAAGGAAGGAAGGAAGGATGGATGGATGGATGGATGGATTCCAAACACTTTCCAAACAGCCCGGTGCATTCACAACCCAATAAAAAATTAAGATAGATCGTAATAGCTAAGCAATTCAGGAAAAGTCAGTACAATAAAAAAGAAAAGATTAACTTATATTAAAAGTGACATTTTCTGCTTAGATACAAAATATGATTATTGCTTTATTTAATATTTCCCACAAAACAAGTTGGAAATCAAATTGGTACCAAATCCTCCTAAAAAAATATTTTCTATTCTGTTGCTCTAAACAAGTTTTGATTCTTTTCTGATCTCATTGCATAACTTTCAAATTCTGACATAGCTTTTAACATAGCTCAGGCTTCCTTCTCAGCCCCCTGAGAACTTTGAATATTTGTCTCCTAAGGGACATTCTAGTAGAGATGGCCCAATTCAGCACAGAAGTCAACAGACAGACTGTCTGGCTCCAATTTGTGCCAACTGCTAATGCAGCCAAAGGCATTTGTATCTTGATATAGGGAAGTGTTATAGTTGATCTTACCTCCCTTGCAATGTTGGCAATCTCTGGATAAGGCCCATATTCCCATGAGCCAATAAGCTGGGAGGCTTTTCCATATATCTATAGCAGCAATACCTACCCAAAAAACCCGTTTAAACATTATTAGGTCGAAGGGGATTAACACAGAACCATTCCTGTTGTTTTGTGAGTAATTTGACAGTAGTACACATTCAAAACGATGGTTTCTTTACTGTCTCTTAATGTCCTTTTACAATATATTATGTTTAAAAAGAATTGCTCACATTTCATTTTTCATATATGGGCAGATGCATGGAATTCATCTCGTGCATGACTAATAAATTACTTCGGAAGAAAAACTGCACCGTTTGCTACAGAAATATATTCTGTAATTCCTAGACTGGAGAATTGACATGAATTTTATATAGTGATATATTGCTTAAATATTCAAAGAAGTAAAATGGTACTTAATGGTTAATATACTTTAAACTTATATTAATGTAAAACTCTAAATATTTTATTTAGCTAATTATTTGTAGCCGACTTTTATTATTTTTACAATTAACTCAAGACAGTGCATATATCCAGCACACCTTTCCTCCTCCTATTTTTCTCACAACAACAACAACTGTGTGAGATGAGCTGGCTGAGAGAGAGAGAGTAACTGGCCCAAGATCACCCAGCTGGCTTTCATGGCTAAGTCAGAACTAGAATTCACAGTCACCTGGTTTCTAGCCTGGTACGTTAACCAATAGACCAAACTGACTTTCTTTGAAAATATTATTTTCACAAAGAAAATATTCTTTGTTGGTATGAAACTTCCAAAGGATAACTCAGTTTGGAAAAAAATTGATTGACCTTTCAAATTGAATCTTCAGCTACAGTTCATAAATTCAGTCCCTTCAGAATATATCAGAAAGCAAACCCCATTGGGGTAATGTCCTCTGTTTTTTCTGCCTTACTCTTCTTGAATTTGATTAGGTTGGAGAGAAAAAAGAGAGACTTAAATTTAATACACTATTTTTTTAAAAAAAGAAAAAAATCCACCTTGCTGTTATGTCTCTCTCTAACAAATTCTCTTTTGTCCTGTGGGCCTGAGATAGTATGCTTGCTGGTAAACTATGTACTATATATTTAAGAATATTTCTAGTTGGCATTGTGTATTGTATACGCAATAGTGATAACATATATATTTCTCAGATTTGTTTTAAAAAAAAAGTCTTGGACAATCTGCATATAACACACATTATTCCCAAATGACACTATTTTTTTTTTTTAAAAAAAAATTCATTGAACTATGACTAACAAGCATCATCAAGTAATTAAAATAACATAAATCCAATCCGCATAGAGAAAAGATATAGAAAATACAAACAAATGTAAACAGAAGGTACTATACATGTACAAATTTACCTTATGTATAAACTAATATATTATAATGTATTGCTGCTGAGGTAAACCATAAAAATCCATCCAAATTTAATAAAATTGTGGTTCCTGCCTCTGATTACTCATTATTTTAAATGTGTAGGTTTTTTTAATGTGGTAAATGAACAAATTTGTTAATCCACATTTCAGTTGTTATGTAAACAACAGTTTTCCAATGTTAAGCAATTATTATTTTAATTGCATATATATATCTGGGGTCAAATGCCAGTGGTGTATCTTCCACTCCAGTTCTTGCATTAAAGCTGGGGTGAATCTACCTGATTTCCATATTTTTTGCAAATTTATATCTTGTATGGTATTACCAAGATCAGTATCCTACAAGCATACTTTAAACTGGCTGGGAAATTCTGTGAGTTAAAGTCCTACACATTTTAAAGTTGATAAGTTTGAGAAGCACTGCTTTAAACCAGGGGTGTCAAACTCGCAACGTCACGTGACGTGTCGCGATGTATCATGACTTTTTTTCCCATTGCCGGCAATGGGGTGGGCTAAGAATGTTCATTTTGTTTGTTCTAGAAGAAGAATAACACCAACATTTAAAAGAAAATCAGGAATAATTTATAAAATGTACTGCTGTGGAACCCTTGAAGATACTCTTTGCAATATCTTACCTTCCTATTATTTTCATCCATCTTTGCCCTCGAACAAAGTTGCTAGACACATTTATGATGTCTCTCTATTGTAGCTAGTGATTAAATATTTCATCAAGTTGAACCTTGAATTTCAAATAAATTTGAAGCAAGTCTTGTTGCTTTTAGTCTTTAATTGCAAATAGGAATAGAATGTTGCTCTCTTTTTATGTCAGATCAGATCCTGATTAATTTGTATATCTCTTATTTTTATTGGAATATTATCACTTTATCTGCAGAAGAAGTAGTAACCCACTGCTCAATTTGTTATCGCATGTTATTATCAATCAAATATTTACTCTGGTACATGTATTCTTTCTGCTGTTTCATTTTAACCACAATGCTATTCCTGGCTCTTTTGCTTTAGTTCTGTATTAACCAGATGCTTATCTTTTTATTCTGTTCACTTAACATATAGATTTTTTTAATTAATCTTTTTTCACGTTCCCTCCCTCTATTTGTATTTTCAAAGCAATATAAGATCATGTAAATAGTTCCTAGGAAATATCCTTCTATAACTTCTTCCGCTTTTGTAGCAGTGTAGCAAGTTGTATTCTTCCATTTGGCTGCAACTGTGCTTTCTTATTTTATATTTAATATATTTAAATTCTGCACATCAATATAAAATCCTGAATAATTTGCAACAGTATAACAATAATATTGCAACATTAAGTAATTCCTTAAAAAATGAAAGATTAGAAGATGTTAGTGGCTGGAAAAGGGCTGGAAAAAAGATACATTTTTTTTTCAAAGATGTGGGATGGAAGGAAATGTCATTGCACAAGATAGGAAAGGTTCATATCCATATTTCACCAAGTAGCAGTCCACACTCTGTGACACACAAAGGGAGGATCTTTCCTCTCCCCTCAAAGAATATAGTAACCACAGAGATGATGTCATTGAATATGTTCTTCAGTGTAACTTGATCTGGACTTTGAGCCATAAATTTCTATCAGTAACCTAGCTGCTACATTCTTCCCTAATTTTAGCCTTCAGAGCTTTCCAAGGGCAGGTCCACACTGAGTGCATTACAGTAATCCAATCTGGAAGTATTGATCATTCTTTTTAAACTAAAAGCAGTATTTTATTATTTAAAAAGAAGCAGCAGCACAGCAAATGAGATTTATAGGAATTAAGATGTGAAGAGCTTATTACTCAGCTTTTGCACACCTACTTACAACTCAATATCAGAGTAGAGTAGAGTAGAGTAGAACAAAAGAGGAACGGAACAGAATAGAATATAAATTCTTTATTGGCTAAGTGTGATTGGACACACAAGGAATTTGTCTGCTGTGAATAAGCTCTCAATGTACATGCATGCAACAAGTGATGAATGATTATTTTCATAGGTAAGTGTCATAAGCATTTCCCTTCTCTTGTTTATCTACTCAAAACATTGAAAAGGGACAGTGAAAACAATTAATCAGTGGAATGACTTTGCCTCCAGAACTTGTGGGTGCTCCATCATTAGAGATTTTAAAGAAGAAATTGGACAGCAATTTGTCTGAAAGGATAGTGTCTCCTGATTGAGCAGAGTTGAAGATCTCCAAGGTCTCTTCCAACTCTGTTATTCTGTTCAAACTATTCCTTTTGTTCTATAAAACAGATTGAATCGCGTATTGGGGGGTGAACTAGTTGATATCCATACTGTCGAGGCTCTGTATGGAGTGGTTGTAAGAAAGGAGTTGATTGTTGCCCAATTAAGCTTTCTCTTTATTTTATAATCGTCTAATGCATCTTCATATTATAAAATTAGTCTTGATCCTACCTGTTTGTCTGTCCGTTTGTTTGTTTATTTATTTATTTAAGCCCACCTTCATTATTTTTACAAATAGCTCAAGGCAATGAACATAACTAATATATCTTCCTCCTATCTTCCCCACAACAGCCCTGTGAGGTGGGTTGGATTGAAAGTGAGTGACTGGCCCAAAGTCTCCCAGCTGGTTTTCATAGCTAAGGCAGGACTTGAAGTCACAGTCTCCCGTTTTCTAGCATGGTGCCTAAACTACTAGACCAAATTGGCTTCTTATATACAATTTATATCATATTTATAAAGTATATTTATTATTCTTGGACTTCTTTTATGATATGTTTAAATAAAATACTGATTTTTTTCAAAGAAATTAATTTTGAAATAAGATTTTACTGCATTTGATCTAAATTATTATTTTTGCATTGTTATATGTCAGAATGTATTATTGGTAAACTGTTATTTGTACATGTTATTATTGAGAGACCTTTTGAGTTGAATCTACTTGTGGCCAAATTAGCATGCAAATAGTAAATCAATATAAATTCTCCTTGCTAGTTTCCCATTTTGGGGAGGATAAACTAAGGGACCTGCTGCTCTCTTGCTGTAACCAAATAAAGTAGATAAACAACAGGTTTGAATGTTGGGATGTGGAGACACTAGTCTAAAGACTCGTTTCTTAGGTGGTGAAAACAAGGACAAGATTCAAGGATAGTTTATAGCAAGACTGTATTCCCTGTATTTCTCAATTATTAATGTAAACCATTGGGGCGATCATGGCTAACTAAGTCCTATGATGAAGTCTGAACCAAAAATTCAATAGGGCCTAATGATCATTTTCTTTTACAAGGGTCTGAAATTGCATTGGCATTACTCTCTCAAACATCTTCCTAGAGGAGATTATGGCAATTGGCCAGGATAGGGCCACCAGATTGGAACACAAAATTCCAGAGGTCTAATAGATTAAAAAACTTTTTTTGCTATCATCTAGTGGTCATCTTGATTTTTGCAGCCTAAATCTGCTGTAGTAGCCTTAGAGCAGTGGTGTCAAACATGCAATGTCACGTGACATCATGACTTTTTTGCCATTGCCAGCAAAGGAGTGGGCGCGGTTTTGCTATGATGCATCCGGCCCGTGGGCCGGCAGTTTGACACCCTTGCCCTAGAGTTCTAGACCAGTGGTGGCGAACCTATGGCACGGGTGCCAGAGGCGGCACTCAGAGCCTTCTCTGTGGGCACGCGCGCCGTCGCCCCAGTCCTAGGCCTTCAGCTTGGTTTTATAAAATCTTTTTGCTTTAGATCTCTGCCGCCATGTACAAAAAAAAAGGTTCAATCAATCAATTTCAACTTCTCGTGGGAAAAAAAAGATCTTGCAAAGTTGGAATTGATTGATTGAACTTTTTAGTCCCACCCAGTCTGCTGTTACCACCATAGCCACGCCCACCCAATGGGACACGCCCACCCAATGGGACACACCCACCCGGCACCCGACGATGCATAAGTTGGTTTTGGGTTGCAGTTTGGGCAGTCAGTCTCTAAAAGGTTTGCCATCACTGTTCTAGACAATGATTGTTAAGAAATCCAGAAAGTACTGTGCCTTTCTTGAAATGGCTCTCTCTCAAATATATATCCATATAGCAATATATTTTGCATACAAGGGGCTCATAGGCTAACCTCTTTGTTAAAAGGAATCAGGTGTGAAGTTTAGAATTTAAAAAGCATTCAAATAAAAGAGATACATTCCATTGGTTTTCTTTGCCTTGTCCTCAGGATTTCAGATTTCAATAAGTAAAATAGATTCAACAAAACTGGGCTAGATGGGATCCACTTCATAGTCACATCAACAAAAGCATCCAGTTTAGCAAATATTAGTTCTTTATTTGTTAGACTTTACACAGAGTGCCATGACTGATGGTACTATTTGAAATCCAATTCTTCATTGTACCTTTGATGATCAAACACAGAGGGAAAAGCTCTACAGCTTTCCATTAAGGTGTTTTAGCTTTCATCACTTTATTTTCACACATCTTACAACAAAGGTTTCTGGCCTCCACATCCCCAATTCAAATTGACCTAAGTTTTTCCTGTTGTACCTTTAGTAATTCCCATCATACCAGAATACTCTTTTTCCCCTTGCTGTTTATATACCTATCATTACCAAGGGATGGGATTACAAGCTGGAAGTTTCTTTTGTGCTGAGTATATAATTCTTGGATAAGCTATTTAATTTGGATAAAAAAGGTATTTTGTTTCACAGCAATATTTTAATAGTCTCAGTAATATTTTTAGTTACAACAATTAGATTGTAACTATTATGTAATTGTTCTATCTTAGGTAAACCGTGATATTCATTTTTAAAATGCCTGTTTTCACTAACCTTTAAATTTTCTTTCCAGTTACTTATCTTTCAAGATTTTGATAACAAAAAATTCTGCTTTGAGTGTAACATTACACTCCACAAAGAAAAAACTATTTCATCGTTATGTAGAATTCTTATTATTTTTTGTGTGATTATGTGTACTTATTTTTTTATTTTTCATATTAACTTGATGTGTAATTGTGCTTTTTTATTTTTCTATTATACATGCATATTGTATAAAACTAAAGTTTGTATTGATTATTACATACTGAGAATATGTACCATTTCTGTTTCCCTCCACACCAATCAGGATCCACCTGTAGCGGTGACTCTTGGACTTCGGATGGAAGAAATGATTTTTAATCTTGCAGATACTCATTTATTTTTCAATGATTTGGAGGTATGTACAAAATATAATGTATATTAGAACACTTATATCTAACAATCTCTATTTCTTTCAGTTTGTAGCCAGAAATAAAAAAAACGGACCAGGTTAATTATATCATTTTCCCAGATATTTTTTATATGGTTAGATTGGCAAAATATGAAAATCATTAACAAGATTAGATTCTTATTAACTTTTTTAAAAAAATCAGGCCTATTCCATTAGATTTAACTTTCCATTGTTCTATCATAGGATACAATAAGAATTAAAAAGAAGCCTCTTGCTCTCTTATTTTCATCCTAAGCAATTAAAATAGATGGGCTGATAGTCCATGCTCAGTTCTATTGTCGCCCAGCCTACAAATATATTTGCCGAGGGATGATATTAAAAAAGAATGAAGAACTTTAAAACTCCCATAGCAAACAAATAGGAACAACATCTATTCATGATTTTTGCAGCTTGTCCTATCTCAACATACAGTTCCAATTCCTAAACCTAACAAAAAAAAAAGCTATTGATAGCTCAGAAATGAAACAACAGGTAAAAGGACAGGCATGTCTCATTATTAGCTTAAACTTATTTTAACTTGCTCATAAGAAATATCAGAATCCTGACATTCAGAATATTCACCTTTTGATCAGGGAAGAATCTGTACATTAGCCTCTTTTTTGTTCTTATATTCCTGTAAATTTTAATTAGCATGTGAAAACATGCTGACTTGCATTGAGTGTCCTATTTAGAAAGACATACAAGAGTGCTGTATAGAGAGCAGTTTCTACATTCAGTTCCAGTTCTAGGCAAAATAAAAATTCCATGCTATTGTTCTTTAATGTTACAGAATTTTGCATTGGAGTAGCTTTATAATGAATTTTAAGAAAACATTTCAATGATTCAATGATAACAATGTAAAGTTATATTTACATGTTGGATTGATAAGTCCAATTTTATTTTCCTTACCTCTTTATTATACAAATAGTTGGCTTACATTGTATCTTTACTGTCAAGGAAATCTTTTTTTTCTTATATTTGGCAGTTAATCTATACCAAATTTGCTATTATCTGTCAGATAAAGATGAATCGAGTTTGTTCTTCACCCTGAAGTCTGTTAACTGCTAAGATCTGCATAATAGAGTTTTTGTTTTTACTAGCAGTGAGTCATTGTTTTTATTGGATAATGAAATTACTGATATTTCCAAAATATTTTTTTTTGTGGGTCAACTGTAGGTTTTATACTCTCTAGTAAAAATGTCAAGTTCTGAAGAATTCTTTGGTAAGAAACTAGTTGTACTGAGACATAATTTAATTTAATGTTATAGCAGTCAAAATCAGCTATTGCACATGAATTTGTAAACTCTCAGTAATGGCAAATATATTTTATCTTTCTTAGTTTTGAACTTGCACAGCCAGTGGCCCACTGAGAATGAGTATAGCCAGTTCTGTAGCTGTTTTAAAAGGTATTTTACCTTAAATTAACATTAACAGAGAGCTTCCTTACAGCATAATTTCTACCTCATTTCTATTACAATCACACAGCAGTATTCTGATATTATGCAAGCAGGTTTTAAATTTCCACTGGGAATGGGAGGGAATTAATTTAGGTTGATTTCCTTGAAATCTTTCATTATACATTAATCGATTTATGTATAGTTCGCCTAAAATTTTGACAGGCTTGGGGTTTAGCGTAAATAACTTTATAATTTTTCAATAATAATTCTGCAAACAGTATAGAGCACAAAACACTATTTTGTGCTTCAAAATACGTTATAGGAAGTGACGAAATAATAAGTAAAAAGGGTGTACCACAGAAAACAAAGAAATAAACCACATTTACATCATAGTTCCACATCATAAATGGATTTTTTTTTTAAAAAGAGAGCAGACAAAATTGATATCCTCACTAATTTTAAAGACTATCACAAATTTATAATCTTTTTCAAAATGAAAATAGAACATGAGAACAAAAGACCCATGAATCATTCATGAAAGAAAGCTTGATAATACATTTACGAATACCTTCAACTGGATTTGACTTACTAAATATATTCGAGCTAGACCCAAACACTCCTGTAAAATCTAATGTATTAATAGCCATGTGTCTGCTAGTCTGTCTGCTTACTGTTTCCTCCTAAATTGCTTTCCTAGTACTAGGAAGAGACATCATAAGAAATTAAAAGGGACAGAATACATTTTTTTTGTTTGGTTCCAAAATCTTTGCCTTTGTGCCAGATGGAGATTAACAGCAAGATTTTTTTTGTCCCTAGGAAGTACAAAGGCAAAGGAAAGTTTGAAATGTCTAGGTGGCATCACTCACCACTCATTCCCACCCCTTTCATCACTGCTTGTATACCTGTATTACACCACAGTGTAAATATGAGACAAGGGTAAAGTGGATATTCAAAACTGCACTGCAGTAGTGTAGATTTGATGGAAAAATATAAAATGGGCTAACAAGAGAAAAACAAATGAGGTCACATGAAGTAACATCAGGTAGATCAGCAAAAAAATAATCGGCAATGAGAAAAAGATCAGTCTAGCCCTACTAGTAGTAAACATTGCAAGGATCTCAGAAAGAGAAACCAGGGGAAAATGCTCGTTTTGCAAGAGCTTTCATTTTCAAAGATTAAGTTTCCATTATAATGTAAACTTAATAAGGTGGTGAAGCATGACGAGCATGCTCCTTTAATAATAGTTCCACTCTGGATCGTGTGATTGACAGTTAGAAATATGCAATTGCCAATATTCTAACACAGTGCTCAGCCTTCTCTTCCATAGGGATCCATTGGGAGGTGTGTGTTTTTCTGTAGCACCTGACCCATTTTTGAACTTGATATTTATTGTACTAGCCCTGACAACAAATTTGGTTTCATTCTTTTCAGTCTTTGAAAAGTTATTCTGGTGGTGTAAGGATAAATTGCATAATTTATTTCCAGTTCAGCTAGACAGAATGAAAGCAATAAGGTAAACAGGTAGAGAGGAAACATGCCAGAGAAAGAAAAGAATAGGAAGAATAAACCAAGGAAAGAGAACAAAACCTACTTTGGTTGGAAAGTGTGATCTGGAATGTGCCTATTTAGCTGTAATATACAATGTATTTGTTGGAAATCTGTGACCTGTAAACCAGAGGTCCCCAACCTTTTGGCCACCAGGGACCGCGGATCAGAGGGGGTGTGGTTTTGAATACTGCCTGCATCCCATGGATGGAGCTTTTCTTGTTTGTGTGGCCCACTTGTTGGCATCCTGCGGACAGGTGCCGGTCCATTGACCGGGGGTTGGGGACCCGTGCTGTAAACTATCCCACTATCCTGGGATAGGAGAGGAATGTCATTAAACTAAACATTTAACATATTCTCAATTTAAATGGAATATTTAACAAAGTAGCAGCAGGAGGGTGACCATTGGTGAGATATATGGTTTGAAATTCCAAATTCATTCTGCTTTATAATGAATGGAAAATGAAATGAATAATTCAAGATGAAATAGAAGTGCAGGTACCTTACAAGTAGGCTGATAAAGCAGAAAAGGAATTAAAGGAAGCAAGGAACTAAGGTAACTAAGGGAAAAAGCTTTTGGTTAGGATTGTTCCTAATTTGTCCACTTTCATCTTCATGGCTATGGCCCAAATCTTCTGTTTCAGAATCTTTATAGTTTTATAAATTCTAGAATAAAAGCTGAATTTTTATTAGAAAAAGTAGCATTTATTCACACTCAATTTGTGAAAGAAATTACAATTCTTCACTGGGATTTTTTCCCATATAGCTTCCTTAATTCATTCTAAGTATTTATTTTTTATTTTGTAGTGCTCAGATTTTAAAAGACATCTTAATCTGATTTTTTTTAAAAAAAAAAAAAACTATGTTTGTATTGTTATCTTATTGAAACTCTTGCATCCTGCCCTTTTGTATGAGTTCAAGGTAATCTATATAAATAAAAATGTAAATGTTCGTTTGTTCAAAATCTTAAATCTCCGAAAGTTCTTCACCGATTGCTTTGAAATTTTGACACAACGTTGCATTCGAATACGCACGTGTTTTTATATACCTACTATTATATAGATGTCACACCTGTGACACAAACGTGTGCTTTCTCTTTTCTTTCTTTTCAATTTAACCAGACTGAGCCACAGCAATGCGTGGCTGGGTATAGCTAGTTAACAATAAAGTTTGCTATGGCATAATAGTTTAGAACCTGATATGAAAATAGCCTCCAGAAACAGCAGGAAGCAACCATAAATGTAAAAAAGTACAAATTCAGTAATAACCGCTTACAACCCAAAAACTTCTGGTATTGACATTAAATAGCCATATTATATCAGTGACAATGATTTTTTTAATCAACTACAGATGGAAAACTAGCTGTGCTCATGCATCAAGGAAGGACACCCAGCATCAGAGATATATGCCCTGATAATATCAAGGCATACTGCAGTGTCCTTTTTATAGGTTGTCCCTAGTAGACTGGAAATTGCCTCTGGCCCATAATGAAGCAGTGCAAATGATGTGTGGTGCCTCTAGGAGGTACTACCTTCCCTGTATCAAAACAACTGAACAAAACATTGGTTGCTTTCCAAGCTTAGTTCACGGTAGATTAGAACATTGTATCAGATCCTAGATTTAGCCACAAAACAAGCTTTTTATCTAGTCCTAATTGAGCATATTTCTGGAGACGCTAGTATAAAAGAGGATCTCACTAGGTGGAAGAGGTTAATATAGGGGAAGAAATATTTCAGATCTGAAAATTCAGTTCTTTTAACAACAGCTTCAAGAATCAGCAACAGCATTTTGAATTCTATGTGGGAAGACAGTATAGTTTTGCAGTAAAAGAGTTGTTCGTTTCTTATATGCTTGCCCTTTTAACAGCCTATCCATCAAATTCTGGACTAGTTGTAGTTCTAACTACTGTAAAGAAAATTTTGTGCAGCAGTCACTTAATTAAAATACTTATCACCGTGACAAAAATTTGCTTTCTCCAGTGAGGGCACTGAAGTCATTGGATGTGACAGTGATCAGATGTCACCATTATCACCTTTGAAAATTGGTCTTTGGTCTTATGAGAAAGGCCAGAACTGTTATAACCCTAAGTCCCATCTTAGTGAACCAGTAGACATGGATATTATTATATTATGAATATTGTTTAATACTTGTTATACGTGGGTAATTAACAGTTGTATTCACAGTCTAAGACTGGTGAAACTTAATAATTCAGGTCCTAACCAAGGGCCTAGGAATTAATAAGGTAGCATCTAAGAAAGTAGATGCTATTTTCCAGGCAGGATAGTTTTTGTAAAATTGGTTGCTCAGGTCTGATAAATTCAATATTTGCAGATATTATTTCCACTGATAAAACCATCACAAACAACAAAATGCGCAATCAAGCATTTGTTGCAGTTCAATATATTTTTATTAAAAGTTACTTTCTTTTAAAAGTCTGTTTATTTCTCAAAAAGATAAACGTGATTGCCTGTCAGTGCAGTCAACAATGGAACATGAAAAAATAGACACTTTTGAAAATTATTTATCAATGTTTTTTATTTATATAATATACACTGATGTGAACTTCTGTTTATTGACATGGTGCTGATAATAATAACTTTTTATTTTTTTTTCATTTTGTGTTTTATACTGGGGCTTCTTTTGCAATATAAGCAAACAAATATATTTAAGTGTTGAGTTAAGGACTCTAAATCTTAGCCTAACCAAAGGGGGAATCATCCTGTTTTTGTGTGTGTGTTCACTTACTACATGGATTCTTTGAAGCATTCCAATGTATCTAGGAATATATCAGTTGATCATATTGGGGGGGGGGGAGAAATAGTAGCTTTACCTGAGGAAGTTGTAAATGCTCATATTCTGCCATCTGCTGGCAATAGAGGTAGTTTAGATTTAGTTGTTTTTTTTTAATCCTTTAGATTTTTCACAATAAAGCACCAATGTACTGTAAAACATTAAACAAGATGTTGGTGCCCTATTTTAAAACATACTCTCTTACTAGGAATGTGATCAAGTACATATAGATGATGTATCCTCAGATGACAATGGACAAGACCTAAGGTAAGATATGCCTTAAAAAATGAAGCAAATTTAAATAAGTATGTATTTTTAGGAAGAAATAGTATTCACTTTTGCATATTTTGGGTGTTTGCAGTACCTACAGTTTTGCAACTGATGGCTTCCATGCAGCTGCAAGTAGTGCAAACCTTTGTCTGCCAACAGGTGTAAGAGGAGGAGTTGACTGGATGAGGAAGCTGGCATTCCGTTACAGAAGAGTCAAAGAATTATATAATACTTATAAAAACAATGTAGGAGGTAAGAAGGATTTTTTTCCCAACATGACATTAACATCAGTTTTATATAAATAATAATTATTTATACTTTACACTACTGTTAAAATATTGTTGTTGTTAATTGCGAAGTCATGTCCGACCCATCGCGACCCCATGGACAACGTTCCCCCAGGCCTTCCTGTCCTCTACCATCTTCTGGAGTCCATTTAAGTTCACGCCTACTGCTTCAGTGACTCCATCCAGCCACCTCATTCTCTGTCATCCCCTTCTTCTATTGCCGTTAAAATATAAGAACAAAATAAATATGGGCGGTTCGGAACTTTTGTGAAGAAAAGTGGATGAAGAAAACGGAGAAACGCTTTGCAGTCTTTCATTAACAAGTTGTGTAATACCTGGAATACTGCAGCCAGTTTTGGTCACCACATTACAAAAAAAGATGCTGAGACTTTGGAAAAAGTGCAGAGAAGAGCAACTAGGATGATTAAAGGCCTGGAGACTAAAACATATGAAGAACGGTTGCAGGAACTGGGTATGGCTAGTCTAGAGAAAAGAAGGACTAGGGGTGACATGATAGCAGTATTCCAGTATTTGAAGGGCTGCCACAAAGAAGAGGGGGTCAACTTATTTTCCAAAGCACCAGAAGGCAAGACAGGAAACAATGGATGGAAATTAATCAAGGAGAGAAGCAACCTGAAATTAAGGAGAAACTTCCTAACCATGAGAATAATTAACCAGTGGAACAGCTTGCCTTCAGTATTGTAGGTGCTTCATCATTGGAGGGTTTTAAGAAGAGACTGGACAGTCACTTGTCTCAAATTGTGTAGGGTGTCCTGCTTGAACAGGTGTTTGGACTAGAAGACCTACAAGGTCCTTTCCAGCTCTATTTTGATTGAAGCTTGGAGCTTAAACTGCGGGTTTTTTCAGCTCCCCTTGCATTTGTTAATTTAGATGATAAATAGACAGTCACCTTAGCTTTCCATCCCAAGTTGAAACAATCCTTTGTGCTTTTGAAGATAATCTTCCTAGGCAAATTGGTCTACTGTAGTTTTCTCATTGATGTTGTAGCTTTGTATATTCTGGATTTTCATTACAGATGTACCTCATTTAGTGACTGTATTGTGACTATTTGCAGTTAAGTCAATGAAGAAAAAGTAATTTTATGACTAATCCTTGAATGTATGACCTTCACAGATCTATAAAGCAAAGGAAAGCTGAAGTAAGATCATAAGCATAGTCATGGTTTAATTTAGCAACCACTTCATTGTCATCGAGTTGCTGGACCCAATTGTGGTTGCTAGATGAAGGCTATCTGTATTATTAAAAAAGAGTAGCATTTAAAAGCATTATTCTTCACATGCGCTCCAATGTAATAATATTTTAGATGTCACTTATATATTATGTATATTTTAATCCAACCAGGATTCAAGACTAAGCACAAATTCAAACCTAGGGGGTTTGAAAGACAAAATCCACGTTTCCTTAAGGAATTATATTTGGCACATTTTAGAGCAAGGTTGTATGCAAAGGCATTGGACAACAGGCACAACCTTTTTTTGTATTGGACAACAGGCACAACCTTTTTTTGTATTGGACAACAGGCACAACCTTTTTTTGTATTGGACAACAGGCACAACCTTTTTTTATGTCTGCTGTTGCCTGGGAATGGGAGAAAAGTGAGCAGAGATAAGCAATTAGAAGGAAGTATAAAAGGAAGAATGCAGTAGTGTCAGGAAATATTGAAGAGAGACAGAATACCTATGTTTAGGCAGAAAAGAGATGTTAGAGGGGGAAAAAGGGAGAGAGCACATTTAGAATATGCATAGTTTCAGAAAATCTCTACCAGTGGACAATTCCTATTCAGCAAATCCAAAATACTTTATGTTTTGGGATGTTTCAATTTAGCAAAACAAACTCTGATAACACCTTGAAGAGATATTATTGTACAAATAGGGCAAGGTGGACTACTATCTCTTCAGCTTCTCCAGTACAGCATATCTTACCAACCCATCTTATCTCATCTTGTAGCCCTTTCCTTTTCTTTTCCTATCTCAGTCACTATCACTGTGACCACCATGGGATATCTCACTTGCCCCTTGTCTTCTGAGGGCCTGCTATTTCCTCCCTTTCCTCCTCTTAGCCACCATTATCATTGACATCCAAGATAATCATCACCCAGATGAAGCTCATCACCAAATGAGCAGAGATTAACACCAATATTAACATTAGACCAACAATCAAGAAGCAAACAACCTCCCAATTGAGGAACTGCCAAACAAGCTAACAATAAACAGCCCAACCAAAGAACTACTAAGACCACTCCTACTCCCACCACTCCCACCAATACTGACAGGGCAGTAATACTGACAGGGCAGTATTGGACAGGCTACTAGTATATAAAATGAGAACAAACCCCACTCTCCACTAGCACTCATGATGTTACTAGTTTGGTAAGGAAACATCTGCAAGAAAACAACCAAGCTTAGAGAGCATCAAGGACCCCTCATTGAAATCCAAGCATGGCATTTCAGCCTATTTGCTCCCAAATTTCCCAGCATCTTCCCTTTCTCATCTCAGCCATTATTAGCACCACTGCCAATGTTATATCTCAAGGCTGACCCATTCCCAGTTTTCTCATTAGCTTCCCACTCCTTTCTTCCCTCAGCATTCAGTACAGTAGAACCCAGCCAACCGGCCAGCCCACCTTTGATCTTCCCAAGGCCTTTTCTGCTCTCCTTCCCCTCAAGTCAGCCAGATTGTGCACCTGTTGCACACTGCCCTAATCTCAGCAGCAAGGACTGACTTCCCATTCAAGACATCCTCCTATAGTACTATCTTCCTTCAACTCATGTGCCTTCCTGCAGGGGCCATCAGTGGCCTTGGCTTTATCCTAGTGTCCTGCCCCTACTAGTGCATGGAACATCTTGCCTCTGATGTGAGGTTGGCCCCAACCCTCCTGTCCTTTTGTAAGGGCCTAAACATCTGGCTCTGCTACTTGACCTGGGTCCCCAATCGAGGAAAAGGTGGTTGATTGAGTAATAACATCCCACTTCCCCCTCCCATTCTGCCGCGTGTCCCCACATGTCCTTAGATTTTAATCTTGTGTTTTAATTTGTTTATCCCAAAGATGCTTTTTCAAAAGACAACTGGACTTTCTTTGTTTTTCTTTGAAGACATGTTGTTTCTCATCCAAGAAGCTTCTTCGTTTATTTATTTATTTATGTTTTAATGTAGATATATTTTTATGACTATAAGCCACCCAAAGTACCTTATGGTAAGATGGGCAGTCAATGAATGAATGAATGAATGACTCAATCAATCAATCAATCAATCAATCACCACCTTTTGGACTGCTTCTGGAACAAAATAACCATTAATGTGTGTTATTAAGTAACTTAGAAGTAATATGCACCAGAGATAAATTCCTTGTGTGTCCAATCACACTTGACCAATAAAGCTATTCTATTCTATTCTATTCTATTCTATTCTATTCTATTCTATTCTATTCTATTCTATTCTACTCTACTCTACTCTACTCTACTCTACTCTATTTTCTATTCTATTCTATTCTATTTTCTATTCTATTCCATTCTATTCTATTTTATTCTATTCTATTCACAAGCAAGTAAACTGAAATATTTTTGTAGAAAAATATGTTATAGGCCTAAATTAACATGGGACTATAACTCCTGGTAAACAGAATGCATTTTAAGAACTTTTTCCTTTATGAATCAGGACTTCTTGGCCCTGCAAAAAGAGATGCATGGCTACAGTTAAGAGCAGAGATTGAAGCTCTCACTGACTCCTGGCTGACCAATGCACTTAAATCATTATCAATTATTAGTACAAGGTGAGTACAAACTTAATTTTTAAAAATTCATTTGCTATATTGCAGAAGCAAAACAATATTAAAGGCAAGAGCAGACAACGAGATGCTTGTAGGCACTCAATTTGCTGCAGATATGTTCTGCAAACCCATTAGGCTTCCTGCATTTTTTGACTTGGTCTTTTTTATTCCTGTTCTAATCAGAATTGAATGGGTGGGGAAATGCTAGCAGACAGTATTCTCTTTATTAACAGGAATGCCTTAGGCATTCTTGTAAAATAAAAATAGAGGATTACTACAACACCATACTTGATGTGGAAGCATGGCTGCCTCTTGAAAATAGATTAGGGTGAGCAGAGCGGTTAGAGGGAATGGTGAGTGTTTATAGACTCACTACACTCAACATTGAAGACATTTGGTAAGAATAATATTCCAAAGGCATCTCCTGGCCAACAGAATACCCATCTGTATCCCTTATATAATGTTGTAAGTAGAAAATTAGGCATTGAGGTAGTTCCCAACTTACAAACCATTTGTCCAGCAACCATTCAAAGTTAAAATGACAGTGAACAAAAATGGTGGTTACAACCATTTTCTTCAGAGTTCCAGCCATCTCAGCATCCCAGGAAATATGTGACTGTGATCCAGAAGCATGGCAAGTGGATCACCTTACTGACTGGTTGCAGTGCCTGATGATCACATGATTGCTATTTGCAACCTTCCCTATGGGCTTCCCCAGGATGTCATTTGGGAAATCAGCAGGAAAGGTCACACATCACTGGGATAAGTTTCCACCATCTGCATGCCTTCTCCCAATCCCTGTGCACTTGTGCTGTGCCTCTCACACACATCCTCATGTACTTTCCACAACTTGCACTACAGTCTCGCAGACCTACAGCTTTGGGGACCTCTCCAGACTGCATTACTTAGCAATGGAAATTGCTGTAGTAAATCAAGGACTACTGTATAGGGAACTGCAAGCCAGACTATTCGCCCATCTAGCTATTATGCTCTATAAATTGTATAGCCTATAAAATTATATTGATTTCTTTGTAAGTTCAAAAAATGATAAATGAAAAAAATGGACAAAAAAGACTGTTTTTCAATTCATAAAATAGTATATTCTATGAATTTAGAAATTCAGCTGAAGATGTGTATTTATGGAATATCACAATCATGAAATTTGCAATGTACAGAATATTGAAATACTTATTATTACTATAGTAATAATTAAAGTAGTAATTGATCTATAGCTAATTTGTTTTATCATTGTTCAGATGTATACTCTGTCTTTCTCTATAGGAGTAACTGTGTAAATGTCTTGGTAACAACAACTCAACTTGTACCGGCCCTAGCAAAAGTGCTTCTGTATAGTTTAGGAGGTGTTTTTCCTATTGAAAATATTTACAGTGCAACTAAAATAGGTACGTATCACAATTCCTTTCCATTTATATAGTTTGCTGGCGGTTTCCAAATGTCTTCTAATCTACTAATGGCACTTTAGTTCAGTTAAGGAATGTCTTCACTTGTAAGAATTGTACATAAAAACTATACATAAAGAATCAGATAACTAGAGTGAGATTCCTAGTTTTACACACACATACACACACTTTTGGATGTACCAACCCATCTATTATCATTAGTAAGGCTATTCAAGCATTTGAAAGAGGTACTTTACAAACATTTGTAAAAATAGGCTGGGTTTGGAGTTTTTTTGCAAGGCACAACTATTCCTGAAGCAAAGGGACTGCATGCTTGAGTGGCTTTCAAAGCAACTGTACAAATAAACAGCTGCTTTGATGATTCGAAGAGAGATGTTTTGTTCATACACCTGCTTATTGTGATATACCTTTTTTAAAATGCTTTGCATGCTTCATTGCCACAAATCTTTATTCAGAAACAGCTGACCCTCTCCCAGTATGGAAAATGTATTGAACTCGAAAATGTTGAAGTTGTTTATTTGAAAATAAAAAGGGCTGCTCTGAGAAAAACAAGGGCAGCTTTTGGGATACCCAGATTGAGGGAGAGTAGACAACCTGGCTCTTTATGTCCAGAGGAACAAAAAAAAAATTACATGCTTTGTTAGGATTCTATCAGGACACCTTGCATGTTGTCTTGGAATATCAAATATTAGCTTACCTAAGTTTCCTTTGAGTTGTGGCGGAAAATAAATTTTAAAAGGCACTAATATTATGAAAGGTTTGTGTAGTGTATGATTTTGGGGGGGGGGAATATGCATCCCTTAGCCTTTTTAGAGATCACTGTGATATTTCTTTTTTGAGAGCGCAAATAAATAGTGCATTATTTTTCAGGAAAAGAAAGCTGTTTTGAGCGTGTAGTGTCCAGGTTTGGCACTAACATAACTTATGTTGTGATTGGAGATGGCCGAGATGAAGAGCATGCAGCCAACCAGGTAACTTCTCTCTGAACTCTTATCTCATTTATCTTCCAGGAAAAGAAAGTTGCTTTGAACGAATAATGCAAAGGTTTGGCAGAAAAGTAGTATATGTTGTAATTGGGGATGGTGTAGAAGAAGAACAGGCAGCAAAAAAGGTAACTTGTTTCATGAAATGTTAGTGTGTTCTATGGATATTTATGCAAGCTTATTTTGTTTGCATTTCTGTTAGTATGGCACTTTGTCAAATTATTTCAGTAACATATGCCAAGATCATAAGAATAAGACATAATCAAACCATTTGGATTCAAGCACAGGCTTTATGGGGATGGGCAAATATGGAAATTAAATAAAATATATATTGATTATAGATCTTTTTAAAAAAAAACTAACTCTAAGCAGATTAAACACTTTATGTGGATTTGCAAGGCCCAGCAAAGTGTGTTTTGTGTCATCTAATGGAAACAGCACATTGATCTTCTAACAGATCTGAAAAGGGAATAATATGCCAAAAGCTAGTTATTTCAGAGTATAAGCTATAAATGTATTTTAAGAAATTGATTACAATTTAAATTGTTTTTATTCTCAAGACAGGCACAGCTGTATCTATCCCTCATTTACATTTAGAGAGCTGTGATTTCTATTAAATTGAACATTAAATCTTTGAACACTTTGTGTTCAGCATAAAACAGTTCTATAGAAGATTTCAGCACTGTATACTTGATTATTAAAGTAATTAAAATACGATCATACAAGTGCCCAGTAAACATTGTCTTTAAAGAAATCTAGCAGGAAATCTACTGTACTTCAACATATTTCATAACTTCAGAATAAATATAAGCAAAGTAGAAAAAGCATATACATTCAGACATATCTAGAGCATGGGTGCCAAACCTTTTGGCTTGCCTGGGCCACACCAAAGACTTGTCTTGGACTGCATACAGGTAGTCCTCAACTTATGTTGTTAAGTGAGAAATTTGTTAAGTGAGTTTTGCCCCATTTTATGACTTTTCTTGTCACATTGTTAAGTGAATCCGGCTTCCTCATTGATTTTGCTTGTCAGAAAGTCACAAAAGGGGATCACATGACTCCGGGATACCGCAACCGTCATAAATGTGAGTCGGTTGTCAAGCATCCAAATGTAAATCACATGACCATGGCGACGCTATAACAGTCATAAGTGTGAAAAATGGTCAAAAGTCATTTTTTAAGTGCCGTTGTAACTTTGAACAGTCACTAAATAACCTGATGTAAGTTGAGGACTACCTGTATAAAATATATAGTATAGTTAATGTATATCAATCACATAATAATGTTAAAAGTTTACAATATTGTGGGGCCGCATTACTAGCTATCCAGGGCTGCGGGTTAGACATTTCTGATCTAGAGCAATCTTAGAGTTGGAGAATATAAAGGAGATTTTTTATATATATAAATATAATATATATTATTTCCTGGGGTGTTTTTTAGCAACTTTAGTTGCAGTGCTGGTTCCAAATGGTTGCCTTATAGATGCAATACAGTGTTGAGATTGTCTGGTAGCCTATTCAGGAAACTGAGTGACTGATTATTTTAGAGCTGGCATGCTTCCCTCTAACTGTACTTGTTGTGTGCATGAACCTTTGTAGAAATTTGTTTTTAAAAAAAGAAGGCAAATTCTTCAAATAGATCTGCAGTCAGTAAAAATAAAGTTATTAAAATGCGTATCACACACGCTCATACCTTTTTGCAATGTTTTTAATTGCAGAAAAGGGATATTCCTCATAAGACTTTGCTTTCCTAAATTCACTGGAGTCAGACTGATCATAACTTGGTTACTCATCGTAGAAGTTTTGATTATTGAATAATATAATCTAAGTGACCATGTTGCTTTCAAGGAAAGTTTCATACATGACAGCAATTTAATTTCATATATAACCAACACAGATTTTCTTTCTGGTATCTCCCATATAGACAGAGTTGTATATGGGGGGTATATTCTGGGTAATCACCATTCAGCGAGAAATGCGCTGTATTGTAAAGATTAAACTAAAAGTGAGCACTAAAATTAAATGTGTGGTACGTTCATTTGCCTGCTTTTTCTCGAGTATTGTACTTTCTGAAGACATCACAAGACATGACAATTGTAAATTAAAACTAAGTAAAAGTCATTAATATTTTATACATCATGGATTTTCCCTGTATTATACAAAATATATTTTGTCATGAAGATTATTACATACTTGATTGCTACCAAATTTACTTCTTTGAAATGAAACAAGATTATTCCTAACATACGTTCTAGTAAATAAAGTTGGAGTAACAGTTTGGTATAATAGTTAAGGCATCACGCTACCACGTTTTCCCAAAAATAAGACCCAACCAGAAAATAAGCCCTAGCATGATTTTTCAGGACGCTCATAATATAAGCCCCGCCCCCAAAATAAGCCCCAGACAGACAGACACGTTTAGTACCCTATTTCCCCCCAAATAAGACCTAACCAGAAAATAAGCCCTAATTGCATCTTTTGGAGCAAAAATTAATACAAGAACCAATCTTATTTTCGGGGAAACATGGTAGAAACTGGGAGACTTTGAGTTTTAGTCCTGCCTTAGGCACAAAGCCAGCTGGGTGACCTTGGGTCAGTCATTTTTTCTCAGCCCTAGGAAGGAAGCAATGGCAAACCACTTCTGAAAAACTTCGCCAAGCCAAGAAAACTACAAGGACTGGTCTAGGCAATCTCTGAGAAACAGATACAATTGAACAGAATAATTAAAAAAAAAAAGTTGAATTTATTAAGGGGCTTATGCAGCTTTTTTTGTATATTTTTTTCAGATCTATTTGGACATTTGCTTTGTTTTATTGTCTTATCTGTGTCTAACTAAGAAAAATCAAGATAATCGTAATATATAAAAAGAAAATATGTGATGTGTGTGATATATTGTTCATTCTTCTTGCCTTCTCTCCCTCCCTCTAACTAATGCAGCATAACATGCCTTTCTGGAGAATATCTAGCCACTCTGACCTCCTGGCTCTACACCAAGCGCTGGAATTAGAGTATTTGTAACTGTTCTTTTTTTATACATATTTCAAAGTACACTGATTTTTTTTTTTTACTTTGGATATGGTGCCTCCGGCTTTACACATATTATCGTCTTAAAAAGAAAGAGCAATATATGGATTCCATTGCGAAGAATTCAGATCACCGAATGGAGACACGCGTTTTAATGCGACACAAGGATTCTCTACATGGTCTTATATATTCAGCATTTTGATGATTGAAGAACTGGAAAAATGGTTGCTGGTACACACCAAATGAGCCCTAGCCAGAGTGAACAAGGTTTGCAGTAGACAAGGAGAAGAAGAAGAAGAATGAATGAATGCATTTTGTGAATGACAAGGGTGTTATTCAACAACATTCCTCACTATGAGATATATTCTCAGCACGGAGGTTTGAATCAAACTTTAGGCTACCTAACCTGACCCAGAAAATTGGGATGCACTTGGACTATACATTGGCAGTCCTGTCTCAATCTGTAAAAGGTGTAAATCATTAATGAAAATAATTTACCGTGACATTAGCAACTGACTTTGGAAGTGGATGCAATCTATTATATTTTGTTTTGTTTTGTTTTGAAGGTGTGCGGAAAGGGGTATATAATAATAATAATTGTCTCTTTTATAAACTTGGCAGACAGAATGTGCATAATGATGTGTTGTGCCTTAAATGACAAGATCTTGTTTGTGTGTTACAGTGTAACATTGGTTTAAAATTATGTAGATAAAAAGATAGAAATCTTTGTGATAATTTTTGACATGACCAAATTTCAAATTCAATTAATCGGTACTGCATAAAAGCAGTTTAAATGTTTGTTGCAGTAAGAGAAAAAATATATAACTGAAAGTTAGTGCTTTTATTTAGATTCTTAATAATTCCACTGATTGTATGCAAATACTTTTTTAAAAAATGTCAGGAGATTGGAATATTGGGTACTGTGAGCAGATAGTTAACATGACAAATTATTTGACAATTTTTCCTTAATTTTTGTGTTAAAAAAAGAATTATACACTGCAATGTGCTGCAATGAGTTTAATTTATGGTATATGTGTTAAAAAAAAAAACCAGCAGACTACTCTTATCTATTGACCTGGTATCAAATTATAATGTAGTATATTTAACATTCAGTAAGGTACATATACATGGCTGAATGTGATCCAGTAAAACTTTTAAGTAAAAGAAAACAGCTAAATAAAAAAAAAGGAATTGCTAGCTATTTGTGCAACAAAAAATACAGTAGACAAACCAAAAGATTACTGGATGAACAATAATATTCTCCTAAAATTGTCAAGTAAAGAAAAATATCATCTATAAATTACCCATTAAGTGGTCCAGTCAAAAAAAACTTTTCAATTCATGAGTTTCTACCAGCACTTAAAGTGATTTTGGAGCTGTTAGTCAGCATGAATCTCAATGGGATGCTCTGTTCCTCTCTGGTTAGTTTTTCCTAGGCATATTGACTATGCTTACATTTATTTGCAGCAGTGGTTTTTCTAACATTGCACTATATCAGGGGTAGTCAACCTTGGCTCTTTTATGACTCGTGGACTTCAATTCCCAGAATTCCTGAGCCAGCTTAGCTGGCTCAGGAATTCTGGGAGTTGAAGTCCACGAGTCATAAAAGAGCCAAGGTTGACTACCCCTGCACTATATTATGGATTCTTGAATAAACCAGAGTTGGTTTGATTCATAACAATATATGAAGTCAAAATCAAACAATCAAATTATGGCTTATTTGAATGTGTAAATTCAGCCCTGCGTATCATTTTGATCTCGTGTTTGCATAATAACAGTGTGCAAGTCATTTGTTACGAAAGGAGGTGGGCAGCATGTGTTACCCTGTCTGTGGCAACACCCCACCCACTTTAGAACCCCCCCCTCCCCAAGAACTTAAACAAGCTGTGACCTTGATGTGGACAACCAGAGTACGTTTGTTCCTTCTAACTTCAAAGGACTTCTAACTTGAGATGGATGGTTGTAACTCCACTGTGTTTATTTCAATGCTCTGTTTTACAGGTAGTCCTCGACTTACAACAGTTCATTTAGTAACCATTCAAAGTTACAATGGCACTGAAAAAAGTGACTTATGACTGTTTTTCACACTTACGACTGCAGCATCCCCATGATCACGTGATCAAAATTCAGGTTCTTGGCAAATGACTCATATTTATGACAGTTGCAGTGTCCCGGGGTCATGTGATCCCCTTTTGCAACCTTCTGACAAGCAAAGTCAATGGGGAAGCCAGATTCACTTAATCACCGTGTTGCTAACTTAACAACTGCAGTGATTCACTTAACAACTGTGACAAGAAAGGTCATAAAATGGGGCAAAACTCACCTAACAAAAGTCTCATCAAAATACATTTTGGGCTCTATTGTTGTAAGTTGAGCACTACCTGTATTGCTTTTATTTTTAAAGTCTATTTTGTGATGTTTTCCTCTTAACTGCCTTGTACAGCTTTCTTAGGGCCAGATTCTCTCCTCTCTAGTTGTCACAAGTTGTTCATTTTTATTCAGTGATTTTGTGATTTTTCTAGTGATGTATAATTTGTGGATAAGCCTTATGGGAGGGGGGGAAGGAATGAGACTGGATAGTATTTAAGAACAGAGTAGCAGCCTCCTGATGTAATTAATGGCTGTTGCAGTTATGCTTTGCACGCGTGGCTGAGGGCCAGTTGGATACGGGACAAAGAGAATGGGTTTCCCAATTTGTTAGTTGTGATGGCAAATCACTCTTAAAAAACACTACCACAAGAGTTTAGAAAACCTGAAACACTTTGAGCATAGACAGAAAATGAACGAAGATAAAACTGAGAATCTGCAAGATGAATTGGCACTACAAAAAAATGTAACCATTTATATGATAGGACAGTGGATCTCTATACAGGTAGTTCTTATTTACCAATCACAGTTAGGTTTGGTGGCAACTCTAAATCTAAGCAACTTGGTGGTAGAGTGAAACATCACATGATTATGCCCAACTTAACGAATGAACTGCGGTCATTAAGCAAGTCCCCACAAACTTGCCGTTGCCATTAAGTGGGACAACGACCGCGACTTTCAACTATCAGCCAGCTTCCCCACTGATTTGTTAAAAGCCAGCTGTAAAAGCCAGAAATAGTGATCACGTGACCGTTGCAAATGTACACCTGTTGCCAAGTGTCCAAATTGCACTCTAGTGATGGCGGGAATGCTGCAACAGCCGCAAATATAAAGTCATAAATTTCTTTTCTCTGGCTGTCATAACGTTGAGCAGTCACTGCAAGGAGTTGGTAAGCTAGGTCTACCGTACCATTATTGGCCGAATGAAAATCCTTGCAAAAATTCAGAGACTTAATAATAGAAAAACACAGGTGCCGTTTTGCCTTACAGAATAGTTAGATGAAAAAGCACTCTGGAATGAAATGTTCATTTTTTTTCCAGAGATAAGATTCTTTGATGAAGACTAAGGTACTCAACATTTATATCTCTGGAATGCACAAAATAATAGTGTTCAGATATGAATTGGTCTACAATATGAATATAAAATCAGTTGAAGTGAATTTCTTTTCTGTGCTATCCTCTGCATTAATAAAATTCTAGTTTAAAAGAGCTTAGAGATAGTATTTCTCGCAATTTCACTTGTGATTATTTTTAATGCAGCAAACATTTTATTTTTTCAAACTTGTTATTTTAAGCTTGTTTTATTTGCCCAAAGGACCACTGAAAATTATTGTATCAGCTTATCAATATAGAAATGCTTTTTGGTCTTCTTTGGATATTTAGAAATAAATAGGTTAAAAATGTCCATAAAATGTTCATAAAGTCTGCAAGCCATCCCACCAATTTTACACTTGTCACATATTTTAATTACTTAAGGTGAAAATTCACAAACCCTTATTCCTGGTCTCAAACTATAATAAAAAAATATCTATGAATCATTAAACAATGTGTATTTTTAATCTAGCCATAAAATTATACTTCTTATAAAAAGCGTTCCTCAATAGTTTCAAGATATTCTATAAAAATATGAATGGAAGCTGTTTTATCAAAATGACAGAATGACACTGCAGTATATGTTTGTTTGGCAGTGATGTTTGACAGATTGCAATGTTTTCAATTGACATAATCACTTTTTGTTTATTCTGCTTTACATTTGAATTTGCTAAACATTGCTCCATTATTATTGTATCCATTAATGTTTTGACAAAAAATTATGAAATCACGTGCATAATAACAGGGATCAGAATTGCCAAACTTTTAGATGCAGAAATAATACTGTCCTTTTAAGTGATTCCTTAAAAAAATGGTAATGGAGAAAAACAGAACATTGCTGCTGAATATAAAATTTGAGGCAAATTAAATTGACCTGATTTTGGCATTTGAGGAAGGTTAAAATAATTGCAGTACAAGTAAGAGAAGATTATTCTAGATTTTTTTTTAAAAAAAATATATATAAGAATTTGGGCTGCCATTGGTATCTTTATAGCTTTTTCTCTTGCATCTGTGTGCATATGCAGACATAAACAATGTTTGCTAAATAGCTGTGCACTTAAGACAGTGTATACTGAAGATTATGCTTTGCAATTGCTGTACCAATTTGAACAGAAACGGCACTTAAATATGAAGCACTTTAAATATAGGGCTTGAGATAGAAGAACAGCACAATTTAGTTTAAGAGAAGTACAAAATAATAATGGATAGAGGGTTCAGATCAATAAACTATAGTAGTTTATTGGAAAAATGAAGTATGTAGATAGTGTTCTACATTTTTCCATACAGTCTTTTCCTTTAGGACTTAATATGCCCACCTTTCTCCCCTCTTCATTAGCCGTTGGCATACTGCATCAATTGTTCCTTCTTGCAGCAGACCTTCCCATGGCGTTCCATTGTCTGGCAGCAGTTGTATGGAGATAATTTATTTTTCTCCCTGTACAGATCATTTTTAATAGTTGGAGGGTTTTTTAGTTGTTGTTGTTAGTTGCAAAGTTGTGTCCGACCCATCGCGACCCCATGGACAACGTTCCTCCAGGCCTTCCTGTCCTCTACCATCTTCTGG